TTTAGCAGAATGGTGGTGCTTCATTGCTCAATTTGAGAGCTGTGGAAAGCACGTAACAAATCTCTATTGGATGGGAGGGTAATGTCAACAGCAGAAATCATCTTCAAGTGAAGAGATGGATTGTAGATATTCAACCTTTGTTCGTGCCAGGAGCCACTCTTGGTTTCCATGACACTTTAAGCATGCAGGCTTACATATCTCGCTTCTACCTTTAAAAGTTCCAAAAGGACAATGGATTCTTTGGTCTCCCCTCCTATTCATCTGCTAAAACTAAATTGTGATGGCTCTACAAGGGAAGGAATGTGCACTAGAAAAGGTGTGGTGAGGGATGAAAATGGCAAAATGATTATGGCATTCTCCTCACACTATAGAGAAGGTACTAATAACATGGGAGAATTAAGAGCAGTAGTGAAAGGTCTTGAATTGTGTAGGATTTTAAATTTAATAATTTACTTTGTTGAGTTGGATTCAAAACTTGTGGTTGATGCTATCAATGGAATATCTAGAGTACCATGGTCATTAACATACTTACTTCAACAATGCAAACAGTTGATGGGGTATGCTAAAATTATTCATACTTGCAGGGAAAGCAACTTCACTGTAGACAGACTAGCAGATTAGGCTTATGTACACGGAAATCAAGTTATTTATCACACACTAGATACTCTTCTTTCTTTAATTCATATGGCTCTCAAGGAAGACAACTTTGGGTTAGCGAGGTTCAAGAATTAACTCTTTTAGTTCGTTATTCAAATCATGTCTTTGTGATGTAACGTAAAGTTAAATTTTGTTTTAGGATTTTAAAATCCCTTATTGTTTTTTTAGGAGTTTAGGCTTTCTTGTCCCCCCATCATGTTGGGTTAGGCTAGTTTGTCCCCCCTTGTATCTTTCCACATTTCATCTATAAAATTTCAAGGTATCGTCCATGTTCCCTAAAAAAAATCATAAAACAATCTAACATCTCCCATTTCTTAAGCTAATGTTTAAATCAAAAGAGAGAAGAATAAGAGGAGGACAAGAAAAACCTAAAGAGAAAGATAATGAAGCTTATTTTCCTTTTCAAAACCTAAAATAAAAAGATAAAAAAAAAAAAAAAAAAAAGGAAACGTGGGTGCTCTAGGTGCTTAAAACGTAGGATGGGGCGGTTTTATCAAACACCCCATATTTTTTTTTAGGTAAGTTAAAAGCTATTGAATTTTAGAGCGGTTTTCTTGACCACCCTAAATATTTTGCCTCTATGGTCCATTTTTTATGTAGTGCATGTGCAATAACATTAATTAGAAGTTGAATTGCAATTTTTATAAGAGGATTTAAGTAAATATGTGTATTAAGCATAATCACGACATGACATTAGTGTGAAAGTTTTATGTTTAAGGAGATTGAGTAGCACTTAGTGCTAAAGTCAATGGGTCGAAAATGAAAATGGCCAATGTCTTTGAGACATAAATAGAAACTCATAACATTTAGATAAAACACTAAAATATCCCTGTGTTGTTATCTCTTAATAATGGCACCTCATATATACTTGTTAATAAGCATGACAAGGATCATGACCATTAAAAGAAAGTGAGGGATGGTTTGGGACAAATTTTTAGTGTCTCAAATTTAAGAAAAAAAACCAAGAGAGACAAGGGGAAAGAAGGGAGAAACTTAATTTCTTGCCCAAAATTGTATGAATTTCATATGTTTTCAACCTTGGATATTAGGTATGTATATCCCATTCACTATTTTACACCGTTGATTTCCAGACTTTAGATTTAGAACTAGGCAAAGTTGTAAACATAAAACTAGTTTCCCTATATCTCATCTAAGTCCTTGTAGAAGGGCTTTGCCACTATTAGACTCGTTGCAAGGATATTATCCTATATACTAAAGCAAAATGGTTTTTATCGTAGCAATGAATCGTGATAATCACTATTCATTGCTATAGTGCTTTGGTTTTTTTTTTTTTGCCAACGTGACCTTCTTCCTCCTTTTTTTTGTTTACTCGTTCATATGAACGATGAAACGACTTCCTCCCCCTCCTTTTTTTCCCTTTCTAAACATTGAATTTTTTTTTTAATTTCCATTCGTTACTATTCACATGAATAGTAAACGTTGCCCCCATTTTTTTCTAAAAATTGAACTTTATTTTTTTAATTTTCGTTTCTTAATAATGTTGGGTGTTAAAATTTTAATGAAATCAACAATTAATTGAGTGTTAAAATTTTAAAGAAACCAATAATTTATTTTCTTTATTATTTATTTCTAAAATTTAAAAATACAAATAAAAAATAGTTAAATACAATTTTTTTGATGAAAAAATTATAATTATTTTTTATCATAAAACAGATTATTAAAGTAAAATAATTTTTTTAAATAATTTTATATATTTTATCAAATCCGTAGCGTAGCACGGATAAAAAATCTAGTATATTCCTAAAAAAGATAAATGCAAATCCACTAACACATGAACCCTAATTCTCCTATATATTTTAATGACCAATTAACATATCCTGTCTTCCTCTCATGGATCATCATCAGCAGCCCACCAAAAACCAAAAACACCAACTTCTTTATTTTCCTTTCATAATCGAGAGAGAACTTGTCTATGCAATCTCTTTTCTCATTGTCTTAACTTCTTCATTCTTTGTCTTTGATCTTTTTTGCCCTTTTGATCCACGATCAGTCTTTCGTTTTGGTTTCTTGTCACAAATCTTATTGAACAATAAAAAATAATCAAACGTTGCATGTGATTATTCCCATGGAAGATGGGTTCGGGATGAAAGTTACAAGAATCGATCATACACAGAAATCTGCCCCTTTCTTGATCCGGGCTTTCGATGTGTTCAAAATGGAAGAAAAGATATAGAGTATCTGAATTGGCGATGGCAGCCACAAGGCTGTGGTATACCAAGGTATGGAAACTTACAAGAAAGCTTAAAATGCCTTTGTCATGCATGCACAAATGCTTCTTTTAATGGTTCTCTGTCAGTCCTGGCGTGTTGCCAAATCCATTTAAATCCTTCAAAAACAACTCCAATTCAGCTTCACAGAGCTTCCTCCACTTCTCCTTCATCTCAACCTTCTTCCTTCCATGGACAAAATTCATTCCACTCAAATTGAACAAATATTTATATTTATTAGACGGTTAGACTAAGAGAGGTAATTTGACATCATAAAACTTTGGATAAATAGTTCTATTTATCCTTATACAATTAAACTAGTTTATAATGCATTAGAATATTTTTAATTATATTTATTATATTCTTATATGGTATCTAATTTTATAATATGTCTTTTAATTAAGTTTTTCACTCATATTAAAAAAATTATATTTTCATTCTAAAATCAAATCAAGTTATATAATAATATAATAGAAAAAAAATGCTCAAAATGTTTATGAAATAAAAATTCTCAAGATTACTCAACCATTAAAATTTTTAAAAATAAAAATTATTTTATTATATAGCTAAATGGTGGTTTTAGAATGAAAAATAAAATTATTTCAATTTAAACAGAAAAAATAAATAGAAGAATATTTTAAAAAATTAAATATGATAAAAAAAACATAATATATACAATTAAAAATATAAAAATAAATTAAAAAATTACTTAAGTTATATAAGAATAAATTGAAAAAATTAGTCATAAGTAGGACTGTAGGAGAAATGAGTTAATTTACATATTTTTCACTGATCTCATCTTGGGCAAGGAGCGTAAATCAAGCACTAATGACTAATGAGTAATTTTTTGGGGGTTGAAATTTTGTTTTTTTTTTTTTTAATCAAGTAAAATTGTTGCGTTGCTTTTGCCAAAAGGTGGATCCAAGGGTTGAATCTACCCTCGTCTTTTCCAAAAATTCGACCAAAAAAAAAAATTCTAAGGAACACATATTAAATTAAATTAAAGTATTAAAAAAATAATAATAAAATAAAAACCAGAAGTTTCTCCCTAATCATGGGAACCGCCTAACTTCAGAACTTAAAGTTCAAACAGAAGTTGGTTGGTGAACGCATGTTTTAACATTGACAGCGTGCCAACGGTTGTCACAAAAAAGTCAAAAGAAAAATGCTAGAACTACCCTGTTTAATATTTTTTTTAACGCTTAACTCAATAACACTATTTACGTCAATTTTTTTAAAAAAAATAAATTACAACCAATCTCAAATTATTTTAAAAAAATATATTATTATTATTATTATTATTTTGCACAAAGCACTAATGTAATAGATAATTATTTATTTATTATAAAGATAAAACACAGAAAGAAAAGAAAAAATAAATTTTAATTATTGGTTTCAACTTAATGGTTTTTTTAGATAATTTTAAGGCTAAACAAATAAAAAGATGAGTATTTCAGAATTTTAAATAATATAAATTTTATTTTAATTTAAAAACTTTCTAAAAATAAAGAGCATTAATTATCTTTTGTTTGCTATTTTTTTATTTGGATGTTAGAACTAGTTAAAAAAAAAATTGAAATGAACATTTTTATTAACTGTTTAAAAAAGAGTGTAAAAAAAAGAGTTGCTAGCATTTCTCTCAAGTTAAAAACTTTCTTAAAAGTTTGAATCTCATTTATTGTTATTTATAATTGATAGTATATTTATTTTTTACATATAATCATAGATATTTTTGACAAAATATTAAACTTGAACTTTAACATAGATGCAATGGAGTTTTTTTTATATAAAAATAGTGTTGATATAGAATTAATATTTTTCAGTAAAAAAATGTGAGATAACCCACTTATCATTTCATTTTTCTTGTTTAAAAAAAGAAAAAGAAAAGAAAAGAAAAACACATTGAGTGTCACCGTAACTTTCCTCTCATTGTTTTCCAAAATTGTACAGTGCCCTTAAACAAGTGTAAATGCATCCACATCCTGCTCCTCATTCCTCACAACAAGTTCTTCATAGGACAAGGGCAAACTAACAAATTAAAGTTGTTACCAACTTTTTGAAGCCAACGAATCTTAGGCACCAAGTATTGTTCATTTTAATCAACGGTGCCTAATCATGGTTTCGAGCTTCAAAATTCTGTCAATCCTGGTTCTGGCCCTTGCCATCTGTGTGCAAGCTGCTCTAGGTAAGCAAAGATTTTTTTCTCTCCATTTCTTTATTTCTGTAGCGATGCTAGAAAGCTAGATAGCAGCCCACCTTGACGTTCATTTTTCTTAAGCAAATTACTGAATCATAATCGTATTATTATTGCAGGAGAAATAATATGTGAGCGTCTTGACCAAGACACCTGTGCCTATGCAATCTCATCGTCCGGCAAGCGTTGCTTGCTCGAGAAACGCATAAAAAGGACCGGAGAAGAAGCATACACATGCCGCACGTCCGAAATTGAGGCTGATAGATTGAAGAACTGGATTGAAAAAGACCAATGCATCAAAGCATGTGGACTTGACAGAAAGTCACTTGGCATCTCGTCCGACTCTCTTCTCGAGTCTCGCTTCTCTCAACAACTTTGCTCTCCTCAGTGCTACCACAGCTGCCCTAACGTTGTCGATCTATACTTCAACCTCGCTGCCGCTGAAGGTATTTAACTAATAAACTTGTCCACCATTCATTAAACAGATAATTGAACTCTCAAGTAATTATTATTGCATGCCCCTCACAATCTCTTTCTCGATTCTGGCAGGTGTTTTTCTTCCCAAATTATGTGAGGTGCACGAGGGAAATGTCAGAAGAGGATTGATGGCTGATATCAAAAGCTCTGGTTATGTTGCACCAGGACCAGATCACCCAGTGAAGTACACTTATGCTCCAGGTCCAGCTGAACCAGTCACATACACATATGCCCCAGCTCCAACAACTCCACCTTATTATTGATTAACCCTTTAGTAAGGGAAAAGAAAGGAAGCAAAAAATATACATGTGTGTAGCCATTGGTATTAGCAAACAACAATATGGGAATATTGGCACCAACCAAGATTTCAATAGCCGGCTGCTCTTGGTACTCCACCATTGCATGGTGGGTGCATGCGAGCATGTGCTGTGTCAGTTATTTGAATCAATAAGGTGTTACCCAGATGATATTATAGGTAGATTTAGGTGTGTTTTGTGTCTTCTATGATTGGATCAGCATATATATATATATATATGTATATGTATACTCTTCTTGCGTGCCTATGGGCAATGCATACAGAAGAAAATCGAATAAATGTATTAACTTGTTTTGGTTATAAATCCAATTTCCAATTAAATTTGTGAGTATGATTTTATGCAAATCAAACCTTTAATTTCTCTAGAACCATATGGACAAAGAAAACTAAAGTGTTTGACTAAACAGGAATTTGTGAACATGAATTAGTGAGAACGAAAACTAACGGCAAAAAACTAAACAATGTAAGATCCATATTCAGATTTTAATGAAGACTCTGTGCTTGTCTAATTAAATTGAAAGTCAAACCTAATGGAATTGTCGAACAAATGGTAATTAAAATATATTTTTCCTTTGAAAGTCCAAAAATAACCGAGAATGGAATAACAATTGGCATATGGAATAGACAATATGACACTGATAAATTTATTTCCTCATAATAGAATGTTCCTCATGATTAGCCAGCAATTACTATTCAATTAACCTAACCTACTTGCATTACTTTAATTATTTCTCTAGGGAAAAGAATTTTAAGTGCTCCATGTCAAGTTTGTTTATGTTTTGTCTAGATTCAATGCATCCTTTCCTTCTCTTTATGTCTATTTTTCAATAGATAGATACATATTTGGATCATTTCAGGGTCTCCTCACATCTAGTTTCACCTTTATGAAATTCTTTAGCTTTAGATTTTGAGCAATGAAAGCTGACCCCCTTGATCTAGTAAGTGGATCCAAGTTAGGATCATGTTTATATATGATGATCTTCTTCTTTTTTTGATAAAATAAAAAACTTGATGCAATCAACCTTAATTAATGTGAACTAATCACTTAAGGAAGGGATTAACTGGAAAAAATGTATGCAGGTTGAGATAATAAACTAACATATGATCATTGATTGTTGTAGCAGGCTGGCTGGCTTAAATTCAGTGAACTAATCACTTAATTAAGGACCTATGATAGAATCTTATATATTGCAATATATACAATACAAATGTAACGTCATTGTTCCAAACTTATCTTGATTATAGTCATTAGCATGTGTAATAGCATTAATTAGAAGTTGAATTCCATTGTTTATAAGAGGATTTAAGTACATTTGTGTGTTAAGCATGATCACGACATGATGTTAATGTGAAAGTTTTGTGTTTGAGGAGATTGAGTAGCAATTAGCAATAAAGTCAAGGAATCTAAAATGAAAATGGCCAATGTCTTTGAGACATAAATAGAAACTCATAACATTTAGATAAAACACTGAAATATCCCTATGTGTTGTTATCTCCTGATAATGGCACCTCATATATACTTGTTAATAAGCATGACAAGGATCATGACCATTAAAAGAAAGTGAGGGATGGTTTGGGACAAATATTTAGTGTCTCAAATTTAAGAAAAAAACCGAGAGAGACAAGGGGAACGAAGGGAGAAACTTAATTTCTTGCCCAAAATTGTATGACTTTCATATGTTTTCAACCTTGGATATTAGGTATGTATATCCCCATCACTGTTTTACACCGTTGATTTCTAGACTTTAGATTTAGAATTGGGAAAAGTCATAGACATAAAACTTGTTTCCCTATATCTCATCTACGTCCTTGCAGAAGGGCTTTGCAACTAATTATGTGTGTTTTGATTTGCAACTAATGTGTGTTTTGAGTTATAGTCATTTCAGTGTGGATTGTCCTATATTACTTAATTAATCCTAAACAAAACAATCTTTAAAATATTATCGCTAATTGTTTGCTTGGTATTTTGATCTTATTTTTCAATATGTTGCACCCCTTTGTCCTTTATAAGTGCCTGTAAGATTTCAAGGCCAATCACTTGTAGATTTTTAGTTATAACTAAGTTAATAAAGACTATTTAAAAATTCTAAAACTAAAACAGAACAAAATTTGAAATTGCACCATAAATTCCACAATTGGAATTTTGATGTAAATTCCACAATTGCACCATAAATATTTGTATAAAAGATTTTGTAAAATGAAACTTTTGAACGAAGACTTCTCTCTAAATGGTAAAAGACAGAAATTATTACCATTTAGTGATATATGTCACTTTATTTACCTCTTTTAACAAAGTGATGTTAACACCCTTCTTTTTCCTTTTGCCTCTTTTACCTTTAGTTGCTCTAGAACATGGTGCTAATTGTGTTCTGATCCTTCAAAAGCATCAAAAAAACGTAATGTAAAAAACTTTATAATGATAATATAAGTGATCTAAAAAATCAAATTCTACTCGCACCATAAATTGGAGAAATTTCTAGCTAGAATCAGTGACCCAATAAACCTTCAATTAGCTAAAAAACAAAACCCAAAAAAATTCCTTTATGACTCCTTAGCCAGATTATGACTAATATTTTCTCTTTTGGGTTTATTGAAAACTTTAACCAACTATATATTAGAGTAAGGTAGGTGATCTAAGATACCACACTGCCGTGTCTATCCTTAAAGCTTAAATCGTATATATCCAGTAGTATATCTCTTGTACATCATGTATATCCAATAATGTATCTAGGAGATGTACTTAGATATATGTCAGCTACATAGTCTCTGCAAACTAGAGTTCTATTCAGGTCTGTCTCTGTAAAACATATAAATAGAGATCTTCAATAAACACCATGTATGCTTTTAATCATATGCAATTCTTTCATGGTATCAGAGCATTAAGAGGTTTAAAAACCTAGCCACCAAACATCTTAAACAAACCAGCACGCACCACACTATGCTCACCCAACAGCAGCCCATGTACTCCTGCGTGCCAGCAACAGTACCCCTGTGCACCAGCAATAGTGCTCCTGCGTGCCAGCCCACCAACCCAGTAGGCCTACTGCGTTCTTGTCAGCCAGTCCCTTTTTTTTACAACTCACTCATCCATGGCCGACTCTGATTCTCCCCAAACACCACCCCACCCAAACATTGATCACTCACCAACCACAACAGCCCCTACCTAAAAACACCACCTACCCAAACATAACACCTCACTTGTCCATCAAACTGACCTCTGCAAACTATCTCCTGTGGAAAACACAACTACTGTCATTATTAAGAGGGTATAAGCTTGCACATCTCATTGATGGCAGCCTTCCATCACCCACCATCAGAGACCCACATTACCCCAGATGGTACACACAAGATCAGCTTGTTCTAAGCTGGATCATAAGCTCCTTCGCTGTCAATCTTGTCAGACAATTGGTAGGAGTTAACACTGCCCGTGAAGCCTGGAATAAACTTGCCACTATCTACTCTTCAGGCTCCAGAACTCAAGTGCGTCAACTTCGCACCAGCCTAATTAAATTATCACAAAGGAATGATGCCATCCCCACCTACATGCAGCGTGCTAAGGAAATTTCAGACCGCCTTACAGCACTACAACATCCCATCTCAGAAGAAGACCTAGTGGATTATATTCTACGAGGTCTAGTTCCAGCATATCGCCCGTTTATACGTAACATAGAAGCAAGGCTCACACCAGTATCCTATGATGATCTATTCTCCCTACTGCTGAGTGAAGAAATACAGACTGTATGTCATGAACATCCATCAGAACAAGTGCTTCCAATAGCACAATTCTTTGCCCGAGGGTTCAATCCCTCACGAGGAAGAGGTCGCTATCATGGCAAAAATAGAGGAATCAGCTTTGGCAGACCACAATCAACATATCCCACCATGGACAGAAACAGTAACACCTCAAATACATGCTCCAATTGCAAAGGATTTGGTCATGATGCCCCAAAACAGCAACGTGATATACGTAACCTTAACACCATCTCTCAAAAACATGAATCTCACCTTGCATCCAAATAATCCAGCCCTATATCCTGACAAACATGGGTTATTGACACCGGAGCTACGCATCATTTGACAGCTAATATGAAAAACATGGGCATCCACTCTGAATACAACGGTCCCGAAAAAGTCATAATCAGTAATAGTAAAACTCTTCCAATCACTCACACTGGTTCTATCACTTTTTCCTTCAAGAATACATCATTCTCACTTGATAATATTCTTCTTGTTCCTCAAGCTTCTAACAATCTGTTTATTTTTTGATAAAGGATATCCACACGAAGCAGAATTTACACATGGGGGAGCTTAACGATGGGCTCTATTCAATGCCAATTAGTTGATCTCCGAAAAACTCTCCATAAGTCTTTTTAAGCTCTCTGTCTACTAGGCATGCTCGTCTTGGCCATGTATCATTAAAAACGAGTGCAAAAAGCCCTTAGTTAGTCCAAGTATCCATGTGTCCGCTCGAGATGTTCCATCTCTTTACCATGCTTATAATGTTGGGAAAATTCATAAATTACCCTTCCATGAGTCTTATTTTCAAGCGTCCGGTCCTTTAGATTTAATTTGCTCCGATTTGTGAGACCCCTCTCCTGTTCCTTCCCTCAATAGAAATTTTTATTATGTTCTATTTTATGATCATTCCGGTAAGTATTCATGGATCTACTTTATTAAATATAAATCGAAGTTATCAACTCGCTTTATCAAGTTTTGACATGTAATTGAAAAATCATTTGACGGATCCATAAAGGCATTTCAATCCGACTGGAGATGAGAGTTTCAAAGCCTTACCAAATACTTGTCCGATAATGGCATCACCCATCATAGTTCATGCCCCAAAACCCTTGAACAAAATGGGTGTGCTGAAAGAAAACATCGACATATCACCGAAGCGAGACGAGCATTACTCCACCATGCATCCCTTCCATCACAATTTTAGGAACATGCCTTTGCCATTACTCGTTTACTCCATCAATCGTCTACCCACACCACGCCTAGCACACAAAACAACTTTTGAGATCCTATTCCATCATCCACCAAATTATCACATGATACATGTATTTGGATGTCTCTGCTATCCATGGTTACGTCCATACATTAGAAATAAGTTAGAACCTCGGTCTCGAAAGTGTATTTTCCTCACGTATAGTCAACTACAAAAAGGTATAACTGTTTTGATCAAGTCACAAATAAGATATATGTCTCATGTCACGTTTTATTTGATGAATAGGTTTTCCCATATCAAGATGCCATATGCAACATACCGATGTCCTCGAAAAACCATGATGTTGTCTCGCTAAACCCACTTGCTCGTACCCACCAACGAGCACCCCATCAAACCCGAACGCCCTACTGACCTCATAACTCATCGAGCCTACCAACACACGACCCAAGACACCCTCCGGCATGCCCGACCAGACAAACACAAGACATGTCCGACCGGCAGAAACACCCAACGACAGTGTCCGCCTAACCAAGCCTCATAACCAACCAACATCACGACCCAAAATCCCACATTAAAACCCCATTCCCCTTCACCCATTCGGTTAGAAATTGACCTTTATAGCTATCTTCCACCCTCCCAACCCCAAAACCGAGTAATGACCATCACACTCGATGCAAACATGTTCTAAGACAGGCCACGATAAACCCAAAACATTCCACACCACCCATATCTCCACTCGCCCTTACCCTTTTATACCACTCGCTACCAAATGCCCAATCCGGCGTCAAGCAATGGATGAAAAGATACGAGCGTTCCGGTCCAATGACACATGGACTTTGGTTTCTTGGTCTCAAGCATCAAATATTATGAGAAATAAATGAGTATACAAAATCAAAAGGCTGCAAGATGGGTCCGTAGATCGATATAAAACGCGTCTTGTGGCCGAGGGGTTCCATCGGAGACCAAGAATTGACTACACCGACACCTTTAATCTCGTTATTAAGCTAATAATGGTGAGACTAATACTATCCATTACGAGTCACAAATAGGTGGAATGTGTAGGAAATGGATGTCTCAAATGCCTTCTTACATGGAGATCTAGAAGAGCCCGTATACATGGAGCGACCATAGGGATATGTTGATCCTAAATTTCCCCACCACTTCGCTCTCCGAAGAAGTCACTTTATGCCTCAAACGAGCACCTAGAGCACGGTACCAATGTCTTACAATAGAACTTGTCAATCTCGGCTTTCGGGGATCTCAATCGGACACTTCTTTGTTTATATACACAACGAGTAAAGACATCATATATTGCCTTATATATGTGGATGATATCCTAATCACCGATAGCAATGAGAAGCACATTAACCATATCAAACGAAATTGTATCTCAAATTTGCCATTAAAGACCTAGGTAAGCTTGATTATTTTTTAGGCATTGAAGCTCATTGGAGAAAAGAGGGATTGATCTTAACACAATCCGGATATATCGGAGACATCCTACAAAAGGCAAATATGCATGAGGCTAGTTCCATTTCAACTCCAGCATGTGCCTCGGTCAAGTTGCTGAATGCGGAGACGCAATTTGACAATCCCATCCTATTCCGCGAGCATTGTAGGAGGACTTCAATATCCGGCCTTAACACACCCTCATATCTCTTTTGCGGTAAATAAAGTTGCCCAATTTATGCATAGTCTAACCACCGAGCACTAGTCTACGAGTGAAGAGAATTCTTCGTTATCTTGGATCCACACTCGATCATGGTCTACACATTCGATAAGCCACTTCTCTATAGATTAATGCATACACCGATGCGGATCGGGGTGGTGATGTGGATGATCGAAAGAGCACAACCAACTACATTATTTATTTGGGTAACAATATGATTTCTCGGTGTACTAAAAAGCAACATACCATCGCACGATCATCCACGAATGTAGAATATCGTGCACTTGCAACCACAACTTCGGAGGTCACTTGGATACAATCACTCTCGAAAGAGATAGGAATTACAATTCCTATGGCTTCGTCATTTGGTGTGACAACATCTTAGCCACTTATCTTGCTGCAAATTTCGTGTTTCATGCTCAATCCAAACACTTGGAAATCGACTTTCACTTCGTCGGATACAAGGTGAAAAAGAAGGAACTAATAGTAACCTTCATCTCAACCAAAGACCAAATTGCGGATGTTCTAACTAAAGCTTTATCGAAACGGCAACATCTACTCTTATGGGACAAGTTGACATTGCGCACCATTGCTCGGCTTGAGGGAGGATGATAAGGATACCACATTGTCGTGTCTATCCTTAAAGCTTAAACCGTATATATCCAGTAGCATATCTCTTGTATAACATTTCACTTCATGTATATCCAATAATGTATCCCACTCTTGCTAGGAGATGTACTTAGATATATGTCTGCTACATAGTCTCTGCAAACTAGAGTTCTATTCGGGTATATCTCTCGTAAAACATATAAATAGAGATCTTTAATAAACATCATGTATGCTTTTGATCATACACAATTCTTTTAGAATCGGTGACCCAATAAACCTTCAATAAGCTAAAAAAAACAAAACCCAAAAAAATTCCTTTATGACTCTTAACCAGACTTATGACTAGTATTTTCTCTTTTGGCTTTATTGAAAAATTCAACCAACTATATATTAGAGTAAGGTAAGTGATCTAAGATACATTAATTAAATCTTAATCTTAAGTAAATAGTTCTATCTATCATTATATAATTAGACAAATTTTCAATATGTTTCGATATTTTAATTATATTTATTATATCTTCATATAATTTCTAATTATCTTATATATTCTTTGATTGAGTTTTTTCGTTCAGATGGACAAAATTATCATCAATTAAGTTTTTTTTACTCAAATTAATAAAATTATCTTTTCATTCTAAAATTGTCTTGAATTATATAAAAATATAATTAAAAAATTGATTGAAATATTTTAAGAAATAAAAAGTTTCAACACTACTCAACTATTAAAATCTTTTAGAAACAAAGATTTTAACTTCTTCTTTTTTTTCAAAAAAATAAAAATAAAAATTACATTCTTGCACACCTTAATGATCGTTTAGAATGAACATTATAATTATAAAAATAAATACAATTAAAAAAAATTAACTAATTATATAAAGATAGATTTAACCGATTACCGTTAAATGTTCCCACAAATCGAAAGACAAGAAAAAGTTGGTCATAATACGAGTGTTGGACAAATGGGTTTCTTCACATTTCTTTCAATGACCTCATCTAGACAACGAGCAAAAATCAAGCACTAATGAGTAATGACTAATCATTTTTGGGTTGAAATTTAGTTTTTTTAATCAAGAACGTCAAAGTGTTGCGTTGCTTTTGCCAAAGGGTCGATCAACGAGTTGAATCTAACCTCATCTTTTCCAAAAGTTCGGCAAAAAAATAAAATAAAATAATATCTAAAGAACATATATTAAATTAAATTAAACCAGAATTTTCTCCATAATCACGGGAACCGCCTAACTTCAAAACTTAAAGTTCAAACAGAATTAGTTGGTTGGTCAGAACTCGACCAATAACGAACTCGTGCAATGTCCTAACAAAACATGTTTTTCGATTTTGCTCCGTGAGTCACGGAGTAGAAAAGTCATATTTTTTTTAAATTTTTCTCCAAGAAACGTTTTCTTTACTCCCACGTCGTTATTCTTTTCCCCTCACTGAAAAAACAAAAAGAAACAGCTTAATGTTTTGCCTTATGTTTAGTTTGAATAAGAAGATTAGATCATCTATAGGTCATGGAGACTTCTTTTTTATTTTTATATATAAATTTACAAGTAACGGGGTAGTAATAATAATAATATATACCTTTGGCCTACCCTATTAATTAGCCTCCACTATTTTGGAAAATTTTTTTTTTTCCTTTGAACAACAATGTGAATTTTATCAAGGAGGTTAAAACCCCACTTTAAAATTCTTGATCAGCTCCATGTGTGCAAACTTGTTTCTATATTTAATGATTGAAATATACTTCTAATCACAATTAAGTTCAAATTGGTAAATGTTTTATGTTTAAGTTTTGACATTAATTGGTTTTATTAAGGAATGACATATTTATCCCCGATTAGTCCTATTCGTAGAAGTATTTTAAGCTTTGATCTCGATGGAGAAATATACCTTTCAATTGTGAATGTTTAAAAGTCTCATCTCCAAGAAAGAAAACTTATTGACTACAAAATAGAAAATTGAGTTATTTGAAAGGAAAAATTGGAGTTGATTTGGTCCATGATTAATGGAGATGGTGACTTAACTGTTCTTCCCACTTCTAACAGTACCGACTAGAAGAGGCTGTTTCATTTCATTAAAGAGATGTCACAAACTTCAGCAGTATCCATGCACTAAACATAAGATTTACATCTGTGCCAGAGTTATTGTTTCCCTTTTCCTCCCTCAGTGCCATAAGAGTTTGCTCATTTAATTCTTAAGTTCTGTTTGGTACAGGATTAAAAATTTAGAAGGAAAATGTTAAGAGAGTAAGATTTAAGAGTGAAATTAACGTTAAGGATATAAAAAAAGAGGAAGTTTTTATGATAATTGGTGGTAGGGGTTAATACTTCCCTACATTCATGTACGTACTCTTCCTCTTGTGCTTATAAGGTCCCTTTACCTTTTTTGTTTTTTTTAATCTTAATATCATCTATGTGTGTTACTAAAACCATTAAAATTTGAAATATGGCAGCATGAGATTTCTCGTTGGTGTATATATATATATATATGTTGGTCTCTAGAATTTTTGAAAATTTTACTTTAGACCCTTTATTTTATCTTTCTTACAAATAAGTTCTTATTGAAAGTTTTTTGGTTTTTATTTTGCAGTAGATACAGTTTAGTCCTTAAACGATTTTTTTACAATTAAGTCTCTATAACTTTTTTTTGATGGGATCCACACTTAAAGAAAATTTTGAATTAATGATTGACAACTTGATTTTTTAAAAAAAGTTGTGATAGGACCCAAAACCCTCCACTTTCGAGGTGGATGAAAATTACCATCAGGGGTAATCTTTCACCCCCATTACACTTTTGGGGTGAAAGGTTATTCTCCATGACTTTTTTTTTTTTTACCTTAAAATTTTATTTACCAAAAAAAAAAATCATATCTTTGAAATTCTGGAGAAAAAATTATAATTATTTAAAATGGATCTACAGTCAACTCATCCCAAAGGACCTCTATTCCAATTAATTTCCAAAACCTTCAAAAAATGGGCAAAAATGAGAAAATTTTATTCAAGTCTTTGAGGTATGAATGGAAAAAAATTAATGACTCTGCGTGACCGACACACATGATGCTTCATCAGCCACCAAGGTCCGTTACTTACGCGTTTTCAAGAAAGTTTTACCCTCTCTAATGCACCTCATAATTCTTGCCATGACAAGATTGGACATGCACCGTCATGAAGACATTTGAATTTGCTTTTTCTCTTTTTATGGATCAAGATATGCAATGATTCTTGGGCTTGGTAATGGAGAGTCGCACTTCCTAACTCAAAAAACCCTACCTTATTTCTTGCAAAATATGAGTAGAAATTCCAAATTTTGACGCAAAAAGATTTTAGCATCATGATTAACATGTCTTGAGAAAGATTATCTCCAAGACGAGAATAATTTTGCTTCACACATACGCCCATCTCGGAGAACATATTGGACAAATGCATTTGTATTTAGTCATGTACGTAATTGTCCAAAACCATGAACATTTGCAATCAACCAGAGCTGCCCTTGACGAGCATGATTTGTAGCATTCAAACAGGCAGCTGCCTTTGATACAGCCAAAAGAAGACCTTAATAATTTCCAAGACCACGGATCATGTGCACAGTACACTCACACACCCGCCACTGATTTCGGACGTCTTTGACTGGTAAATGCATTTCTTTTCGAGAGAGAGAGAGAGAGAGAGTCTTTGGGGGCACGAAACCCCACTATTGTGGGGTCAACAAGAATGACCAAAACAAAACCTTCACTTCACTTGTATTACGAGAAGTTTGAACTTTTAATCAATAAATTATTGATACAATAATAAGCAAACGGATTTTGATGAATTTTTTATTAATACATAAAATATTAATTTTAAAATAATAATTATTAAAAACATTTAATTTTTTTCGTTTTTACTTGAATATATTTGATCATATTTTTAACGTAGGACAAGAATATTTGAAAAAAAATATATTTATTATCATTTATAATTTGATAATATATATACATATTGTATAATCCTATATATTTTTTACAATGTATTAAACTTGAACTTTAATATAGATGCAATGGAGTTTTCTTTTAATTAAAAAAAAATAGTGTTGATATAGACGTAATATTTTTTTATAAAAAAAAGTGTGAGATGACCCACTTATCATTTCATTTTTCTTTAAGAAAGAAAGGGTAAAAAAAAAAAAACATTGACGGCGTCACCATAACCTCTGACTGTTTTTCCAATATTCTACAGTGCCCTAAAACAAGTATAAATACCCCCACACCCTGCTCTTCATTCTTCACTACAAGTTCATCCTAGGACAAGTACAAACTGACAAATTAAAGTTGTTCCCAACTTTCAGCCTAACCAATTTTGGGCACCAAGTATCTCTTGAGTCTAATCACAACGGTGCTTAATCATGGTTTCTAGCTTCAAAAACCTTTCAATCCTGGCTCTGGCCCTTGCCATCTGCGTGCAAGGTACTCTAGGTAAGCAAAGAATTTTTCTCTCCATTTTTTTTATTTCTCCAGCAACGCTTGAAGCTAGATAGCAGCCCACGTTGAAGTTCTTAAATTTTCTTAAACAAATTACTGAATCATAACGGTATTATTATTGCAGGAGAAATAACATGTGAAAATCTTGACCAAGACACCTGTGCCTATGCAATCTCATCGTCCGGCAAGCGTTGCTTGCTCGAGAAGCGCGTAAAAAGGACCGGGGAAGAAGCATACACATGCCGCACATCCGAAATTGAGGCTGATAGATTGAGGAACTGGATTGAGACAGACCAATGCATCAAAGCATGTGGACTTGACAGAAAATCACTCGGAATCTCATCAGATTCTCTTCTCGAGTCTCGCTTCTCTCAACAACTTTGCTCTCCTCAGTGCTACGACAGCTGCCCTAACGTTGTCGATCTTTACTTCAACCTCGCTGCCGCTGAAGGTAATTAACTACTAAACATGTCCATCATTCATTAAACTGATAATGGAACTCAAGTAAATTAATCGTGCATGCCATTCACAATATATTTTTTCTTCTCTGTTTAATTTGACAGGTGTTTTTCTCCCCAAATTATGTGAGGCGCAAGAGGGAAATGTCAGAAGAGGATTGATGGCTGATCTCAAAAGTTCTGGTTATGTTGCACCAGGACCAAACCACCCAGTGAAGTACACATATGCTCCAGGTCCAGCTGAACCAGTTACATACACATATGCTCCAGGTCCAGCTGAACCAGTTACGTACACATATGCTCCAGGTCCAGCTGAACCAGTTACATACACATATGCCCCAGCTCCAGTAGATTACCCAGTTGCCCCAGCAACCCCACCTTATTAATTAGCCCTTTTGTGAGGGAAAACGAAGGAAACAAAAGCATACATACGTGTGGCCATAGGTATTAGCAAGCAACAAATAAGGGAATGGCACCAACAGAGATTTCAGTAGCCGGCTGGCCTGAGTAGTCCACCACTAGCAAGGTGTGTGCATACTAGGATGTGCTGTGCCAGTTATTTGAATCAATAGGGTGCTACCCAGATGATATTATAGGTTTAGATTTGGGTGTGCTTTGTGTATTATTTTTATATGTATACTTGTCTTGTGTGTCTATGAGCAATACATACAGAAAAAAATCGAATAAATGTATTACTTTGTTTTGGTCATAAATCCAATTTCCAATTAAATTTGTGAGTACGATTTGATGCTATCAGACCTTTAATTTCTCTAGAACCATAAAGACAAAGAGAACTAAAGTGTTTGACTAAACAGCAATATGTGAACATGAACTAGTGAGAACTAAAACTAACGGCAAAAAACCAAACAATGTAAGAAAGATAATCAGATTTTAGTGAAGACTTTGTGCTTCTCTAACTAAATTAAAAGTCAAACTCAACGGAATTGTCGGAACAAATGGTGATTAAAATATATATTTCCTTGAAAGTCAGAAAATAAACAAGAATGGAGTAGCAATTGGTTCGTGGAATAGACATGACTTGATAATTTTATTTGCGGTAGATGTTTTATTTGCACCTAAAATACGTTTTTTTACTATTCTGTGAAGGAGCCGACTTCCACATTGAGCATTCGGTTCCATCAAAATCATTTAAAATCCGATTATGATATTAGAGAATCATAGGCATTAAGCATGATCTTTTGACGTCATAGTTTTGCTAATCTTCTTGTTTTCAGATCATAGGTGACAGGTATGGCAGATATAGGCATTTCACGTTTGTATATCTTTTAAATATAATATTTGGGTGGGCAGGGTGGCCGTGGGTGTCTCAGGATCGTATATGGTTGGGTGTTAATACAAAATATATATATATATATATATATATATATATATATATATATTAAAAAAAATACTAAAATAGATGATTAGTTTACCTTCTTTTTTTTTACTGTTTAACAAAATTAAAATTACTATAGACTATGACTTAGTTTTACTGTAAGCCTTTTTGCATTCATCTGGATCGTTTTTTTTTTTTTCCCTCATGCATATGAAGTGGCTTTTTTTCTACCGTATGATTTGCCAAAGTTATTTATTACAATAAAACTAAACTAAAATCATAAATTACTATTCACTGTACTATCTAAAATATTATTTACTTAAATTTATTTTACAAATCATCTATATTCAAATGTATTATTCATTTCGTTACGTAGTGATATTTTTATACTTTTCAAACATTTTAAAGATATTTATTATAAAAATTTTCGTGATATTACATTTTGGTCATTCTTTTTTAATTTTTTTTAGTCCATAAATACTTTTTATTTGATTTTGATCCCTTTTTTTTTCATTTTGGTTTCCTTGTTTTTTTCTCTAATTTTTTAATTAAAAAGTTTAAGGCAAAAGGATGTTTAGAAAAAAATAACTTACAAAATAAGGCTTTAGCTAAAAATATAAATAGAGATAAAAAATAATTTTTTAATAAAAAATTTATGAAAATATAAAAAATAATTAGTCAAATATAAAATCTTGATTAAAAAATAATAAAATTGAATGAATTTTTTATTTAGTTTTGATTTAGTATATTTTGTTAAACACATAATATAACACGGGACATCAAAATAAAATAATTTTATATTTTTTTATATCCAATCCACTGCATAATGCAGTGTGAATAAAAAAACTAGTTTTGCCATTAAACCAAGAGCAGACCAATCAACGAATGAAATTAAACCACCGTTTTAACCTCTATATATGAATTAAGTTTCGGTGGAAGATCTTTTACTTATGCCACATTATGATTCATTTGGTCTCTTGTCATTGATCTGCAAAAATTTCTCTTTTTGGGATGAGCATGCTCCATGTATCTACCTAAGCTTTTTCTCTCTGTCACGCAGTCCGTTAGCAATAAATCATCAAAACGTGTCCGAACAATTATTTCCACTCATCACGCTCGTGACTCTCAAAGTCTAATAAATTGATAATCAAGCAGTTAACTCATGCATTAGAGTGGCTTAAAGCAGCTGGCTTTTTGTTCAAGAGAATTATAGATCTTGTGATGAACCATAAAATATATAATACAAGGTGAAAAAAAATCTAATAAAAATGTGAAAAATAAAGAAATAAAGGTTTAGACTTATAAGTTCTCTTGAAAAATAAAAAAAAAAACAATTTCAATTGAAAAAAAAAGGAAAACAAAATAAAGTTAGGTACTTTTATATTTAAAAGGATATTTTAAAAGTAACAAAAGAAAAAAACATATGAGTAACCAATTAGAAACCAAATAAGGTTTGAAGCTTCAAACTTAAAAATCAAAACAAAAGAACCCACAGAATAGGAGTAAATTATAAATAATTAGTCCCTCTCATTTAGACAATGAATTAATTAATTCATTTCTTTTCAAAAACTAATTATTTAATTATCCTTTGTTTTAATTCCATCAATAACTTAATTCATTTATTAGTTTTTATTTAGATTAGTGATTTTTTTTAAAATTATCCTTCATATGATTTTTGGTTGAAGAAAGAAAAAAAAAGGAATGTGAAGGAGAGAAATAAAACATTAAAAAAAAGATAATTTGAGAAAAAATAAGTCAATAATCTAATAAAAAACTGATGAAACGATTAAATTATTGGTAGAATCAAAACGTAAGGAACTATGATAATTATTTTTTTAAATGAAAAGGACTAATTAATTCATTTCTCGAAATGAAATAATTTATTATTTACTCAAAGATAAGAGAAATACCAAAATCATGAAATGAACACCTAAACCATGAACCTAAAAGAACTAAAAAAAATGATGGAAAAAGGATTTTTATAAAAGAATATAATTGACAGCTTGCATTAAAAATGAGTTAGTGGGATTATATTTATAACTAGTAGGTTGCTTGCGCTACGCTGCATGTTTGATAGAACAAAATTATTTTAAAATTTGAAAATTTTTTAATTATAATATTTTATTTAATTAATTTTTTCTAATGTTTTCATAAATTTTCTACTTAAAAAAATAAATCATTCTTCTTTATACATTGATTTTAAAATTAAAAATTGTAATAATTTTAACTAAAATATTAATCAATAATTTAAAAAAAACTTTAAAAATATAATTTTTCAAATATTGTATTCCAAAAAATAAATTTATAATTAATAGACAGATCGACTTTAACAAAAATTAAAAAATTAAAAAATCTTATTTATTGCTGATGAGAAGATTAATTTTTGAAATTATCCACACAACACTACGGGTAAATAAAACAAAATCATTTCAAAATGTTATAATTTTTTATTAATTTTTTTATTTAATTATTACTATTTTTTTGTGTGTTTTTTGTTAAATTTCTGCTTAAAAAAAACATGATTTATTTTTCATTATTCAGGGATTCTTAAACAATACTTTGTGGTAATTTAAACCTGAAATATTAATTAAGAATTAAAAAATACTTTAAAAATATAGTTTTTTATAAGAATGTATCCAAAAAATAAAGTTACAATTAATGTATAGACTTGCATAAAAATTAAATAATGAAAAAATAAAATTTTATCCTTATTTAATGTTGGTGAGAAGATTATTTTTTTTAAGTACATGCATTTGATCTATATATATTTATTTACAAAATAATCAATAAAATTAGCATAAAAAATTATTTGAATAATTGGTTGGTTCCTTTTTTAAAAAATTAATTATTTATTTCAAATAAATTGGTTCTATAATGTTAAAAAAATATTTATAGTAAATAATTTATATTATGTTGGAAGATGTATAGTTAATTTTTAATAAAATCAACAATTCAATAATTTTTTATAGGTCTTGATCATACCTGGTGAGCTGAGAAAAATTATTTGAAATACACTTTTAACCTTTTAGAATAAAATAATTATATATATATGCAACTATCATTTAAAAATGTTAAGAATTCATGATATATATTATACCTATTTATTTTTAAAAAAAGAAAAAACAATCATGTTTTTAAATTTTATTCTAAAATTCAAACATAGAAAAAAATAAATTATGTAATATCAATAAATAAAATTTCATATAAAAATATTAATTGGATAAGAATTTTTATAAAAAAAATAATAATAATAAATTCAAAGAATGAAATTTAAATAATAAGAGTAATATAAGCTGAAGTATAAGTTAATTTTAAAATATAAAAATATATATTATATAATCGTTAGTTTGTGTGAAAAAAAGTTACCTTTCATTTTTTTAAATTTTAACACCCAATCAAATAAAAAAAAACATAAATTGATGAAAAAAAAAGCAAAGAAAAAATTGATTTTTCAAAATTTTAAAACCCAATCAAACAAAAAAAAAAGAACATAAATTGATGAAAAAAAAAAAGCAAAGAAAAAAAAAGAAAAGAAAAGGCATGTGTAGTGCATCAATTAGGAGACTAAAAAATTTATTTAAAATTTTCAGGGAACAAAATGAAACAACTTAAAAATTACAAAAAAAAAAAAAAAAAAAAAAAAAAAGAGCTAAACTACAGTGAAAGAGTAAATCACTGTTTAAATGAACAATAAATCAATGTTCAAATGAACTGTAAATCACTGTTTTTTTTAATCCCAGATGTTTTAGTTTTTTAGGTAATCCCCTCTGTCTGCTTACTGCTATCATCCGTAACTTGTAAAGACTGATTCTAAAACTAAAGCCCACGAAAAGTCACCGAAACATGTTGGGCTTGGAGTTGAAAGTCATAAGCAACTTTTCCGATTGTTGTATTAGTCTAGCCCAACTTCATTAAGAGTAACATGGATTGTTTTTGGGATTTAATGATTAAATCATGTTCAAATCAAATTTCATTAATCGATCGAGAATAAGTAACTTCTACCTTCAGATTAATACATGCACAAATTATATATATATATATATAATAAGA